TGTGTTTGCTTAAAAATATTTGACTAGTACTAAATGTATCCAAAGACAATATATTAATAAAAGGGCGTTTAATTAATGAAAATGATGGAATACTATCTTTCCTTGCACTCTAAATCTGGATATTAAAATGCATTCAAAAGGCTTACAGTTTTTTTTTTATAACACAAAAAGTGCTGTGTGCACACTAAAACAGAATTATGGACATACTAATAAAATCATCAAAATTATTCATTATACATAAAATATATAATCAGAGCTACATCAAAGATAAAATGTGTTAACAATGTATATGTTGGATTCTATTATGTAAACCTTTATGAGTCTATCTAACCTAGAGATGAAGAACAGCACAAATCAACCAGCCGCAGTTCTGCTACGGAGCAGCAGGGTTGTGGGGGTGTGATGCTAGGATAGAGCAGACAGAGGGGAAGGGGCAGGTAGGAGAAAAAGAGAGAGAGAGAGAGAGAGAGAGAGAGAGAGATGAATGGCAAAAAGACAAAAATAGAACTGGCATGCCAGTGCAGGTGATGGAGGACAGAGGCATGGCTAAAGAGAAAGCCATGTAGTGCACAATGTGACCGGGTAGTGAAGGCTACATCGAGCTAAAACATGCAGGCAGGCCTGTAAAAAATTGTGTGCATGTGTGTATGTGCATGCGTGCGTGCGTGCGTGTGTGTTAGGGGATTATATATGCTTGCGCATGAGCTTGGCGGGGTGATGGATTGCCTGCTCTGTGCCATGTACTTTCTAATCAACCCACTGTCACAACCTGGAGGAGGAGACTGGGTAAGAGAGAGAGAGAAAGAGAGTGAGAGAAGACAGGGTGGACATGGGGGTTAAAGAAAAAAAATAGCCAGAGAGGAGAAAAGAAAAAAGAATGTGACAAGAGAGTAATAAGGATTCAGAGGAAATGCTGTATGATATAACGAAGGACAAGACGAGGAAAAATAGTGAGATGGTTAGTGCTTTCTTTTTCCCACATCATGTCTTAGCTAACCTTTTGCCTTTAGTAACGACAATCCTCTCACTCCAGACACCATCTGCCATTTTCTTTTCTTTACTTGCTTCTTTTCTTTTTTTGTCTTTTCTAAATCATGCCTTTCTTTACCTCCTCCTTCATCTCCACCATTTGATTTTTCATCCATTCCTCTCAACTCCTGTCTTCTAAAATGTGCCCCATGCTATCTCACTTCCCTCTCACAATCCTCTTTGCTGCCTCTGCAGCGTGGTGAGAGAGAGTGTGTGTGTGTGGGAGAAAGAGGGAGACTGTGAGGAAGAGTGGGAGAGGGAGAGTCTGCATCATCTATCTCCATCAAGAAACTGATGAAGGGGGCTGCTAAATATACACATGTACGGAAATGATCTCCAAAATAACTTAGCCTATTCCAGACTCATCTCGCCGAGGTTCATTCTTCATCGTCTGTACACGCTTCGCAGCAGAACCATTAGCAAGCTCTCAGTTTTATGTCGGCGCTGCAGTCTTCATGCACAGCGCGTACCTCGGATGCTGCTACTGTAGCAAGGCCAGAAGCACCACCAGAGTTTTGTGCCTACAAGTGTTTTACTTTTAATATAATGATTAGCAGTAAATGCCTGTCATGATACTGCATTTGCTATGCGAATGTTCTGTACACAACAGCGTCTGGTATACGTTAGCAAAGTGTTTGTAATAGACTTATCTACAGGCTGTATTGGAGAAGCATTTACTGTTTTCATCTGGTGGTGGTGATAATGGTGATATTTTTATATTACTGTATTATTGTACTGTGTAATCATATGGGTTTTTACTGTAGCCTGACATCATTATTTCCTCGTAAAACTATTATGCATTACACTGTCAAGATAATCGAGTAGAGCTGCATAATGTGGACGAAAATAGCATAGTGCTACACATTGTGTTGTGCAACACATGGTTGTGAATCCATGATGGAGCATGGCTATAGAATGACTAGCATTAATTTTACCTCAAATCATTTTAGTTGTTTTTTTTTTTTACCCAATTTATAAAAACACCCAGAAAACATGCTCACAAGATACAATAAAAATGTAATTTGTCTGTATGCTCATCTGCATATTGCAGACTCCTGCTGCAAATATTGCAAAGGCCAACACTGTGACAATGAATAACTTTATATTATTATATATTGTGTATCCCTATAATACAGACGTCTCTGTGTTGTAATGGTGCAGTTTGTTCAATGTGATGGTCCTGTGCGTGTTTTACTGTCCTGCCTGACCCAGCTTGATTCCTGGACCTGCCAAAAGACGTGAGAGCAAAAAAAAAAAAAAAATTTAATTGTATCTTTCTTTTCTCTCTTGATTTCATTCATTCTATAATATGATAACACGTGTGTGTAACGAGGAGCTGTATTACTCTTCACCATACACGTCACGCAGATTCATATTTTAGTCACATAGCTGATCTTCCTATGCCATTTTGACACCTTCCATTTTCCACCAAAAATTATTACGCCATATAAGGCCTCACAGACACAGAATCCTACACTAAGGCTATGACCATCCTTGTTAATTTGATGCTGTATACAATATATCCTAAATTGGACAAACGTTTGGGGAGAGAAAATGTCATTTTAACTGTACCAAACACAAATGCCAGGAATACCAGGAAGACTGGGATCTCTACAGGGATGGAACACAGACACTACCACCTTTCAGAAAGCCCTGCATCCACAAAGAACAAATCTGCATTTAAAGAAGTATGAAAGCCAGAGCCAAGAAGTGAGCAGAAAAGAAAAAAATCATCACTGACCCCTTGCTCCAAGACCACCGCATATTTGAACTCCTTCCCTCCAGCAGCAGCTTCAGATCAAATCCACTAAACACTGAAAAAGCTTCTTTCCACATGCAATCAGACTTCTGAACACTCCCACACTTGTGACTTGCCAAGATGAAATAACATTTCTGTGCAATATGTATCTGTGCAACATTCTTTTCTGTGCAATATTTTTAACCTACAGTTCAATAGTTGTATTTCATATATACTTCTGTTCATACCAAACATGTTGTCAATGTCTTTGTTATGTATTTTAATATGTAATGTCTATATTCACAACGAGAGCTCAACAGCAGATGTACACTGTACTGTGTAAGCAACAACTTATTGCTATACTAGTGCTAAATTTCTCATAAGCACAAATCAAGGTGTTCAAAGCCCTGCGTAATACTCCAGAGTAGATTACGTGTCGGAGAAGCGCAGATCCTAATAGTCCTGTTAGTCCTTTTCGCTGTCTACATGGACTTGCTGAAGCAGTCTGCATGTAGCAATAATCCTATAAGCTACAACAGGAGAAAATCTTTTCTCAACTCCGGTATGTCACAGGTGGATCTCACAACCACATCCACACCCAGACACCCACGCACACCCCCATACACACTACAGACATATGTAGAAACCTGTATGAGCTCCACCAAAAAAAGAAAAAAAGAAATTCAACAGTTCTCGTTGCCTAAAAAAAAAAACCACAGGCAGTGCTGAGTCACTGTGCCTAATATATAGTCATATTTCACCCACCATGTCATGTCCTCTATGGGTCTGATACTGCTAGAGATAAGCGATTTGACATCCATGAAATCACGCCAAGATAAGAAATACGAATCTGACATTGACATTATCATCATCATCCAGACACACTGTAATTGCATGCAGTAAAAACACTGCTGAGGGTCAAAGCAGCATGTGATTGCTATCTTCAGAAAAGGCCTTGTAACAGAAACTTCCTTCAATTTCAAGACATCATTATGTAATGGCTTTATGGCTTTACAGCCCTGCTTGAAGATCCTATGCTTTCAGATGCTAGACTGCAGGGGCTTATGCGTCTACAGTAATTCACTCTCATACAGACACTGTTGATTGTAGATAAACAACCCAGGACAACTGACAGTAGCTTACTCCACCAGCCAACCATGTCCATGATGCTGCACTTTAAATCATACTGCCTCACAACTGACAGCCTCAGGTTGATTATTTAACATAAACACCAACCTTTTGCTCGAGTAACTACAAGCAGAAAGCACCATCACAGGGCCAAGGCGTCATTAGGTGTGCTTAGGCTATGAGGCTGGAAATATTGATCAGTCCACACAGCCCAGCAGTCTGGGAGTGTGATGGGAGACACACAAGGGATTTTCACTCACTGCGCACAGACACCAAACAGTCTATTGAAGGAACAACATCACGATAGTTCGACCTAAAGACAAGAAACCAGTGTATGGACAGAAAAAAAGGGACAGATATGAGGGAAACCAAGGCAACACACACCCGCTGATGTTTGCGTCGTCAGTCCTGATGGCTGCTTGAATCCGCGCGTGGCATCAGAAGGGCGCGTGGCGCTGCTGCTGCTGAGGTCCTCGCGCTACGATGATGTGGACGACGCGCTCATCGCCACACAGAGACACCGGGGTCATTACGGTACACGGTGAGGGTAATGTTAATCCGACAGAGGAATTTCGCTCCGGACACGACATTCACTTGACACGCCCATCCCTCCTATGCTTTCCCCTTCCAAGAAATACCACAGACAAGGTGTTTCTCCGTCGCCTACAGAGTGGGTGTGTTGGCTCGGTTAGAACGCCGTGACTCGGTTTAAGCCCCGCCTTACATGCTACAGATAGCGGGGTAGGCACAGGCTCCGCCCACCCGCTGGTCTGGTCCACCCCGCGCGCTCTGATGCTCTCAGAGCTTCAGCACCAATCGAGAAAACACCACCAGAGCCTAATGTTTTCGAGGTCTTCCTCCGCCTCTTAATATACTGTTTTTAATTATGTAACTGTCAGGTGTTATAGAACAGCGTCCAGCAACCCACTTAAGAAAAAAAAAAAATTCCACATACACATTACATGACTATGATTATGTGGACACCTGACAGTCATATGTGCCTATTCCAAAACCATGGGCATTAACCCAGAGCTGGTCCCCTCCTTTGCTGTTATAATAACCTCCACTCTTCTGGGAAAGCTTTCCACTAGCTTTCAGCATGTGGGAAGTGGTAGGTCAGTGGTTAAGATGTTGGCCTAGTACTCAGAAGGTTATGAGTTCAAATCCCAGCTCCCACTCAAAGCCAAGCTACTACTGCTTGACCCTTAAGCAAGGCCTTTAACCCTCAACTGCTCAGTTGTGCATGTGAGATAAATTTAAGTTGCTCTGGATAAGGGTGTCAAATGCTGTAAGCATGGCTGCTGTGGGGATTTGTGTTCATTCAGTCATGAGAGTATTAGTGAGGCCTGGTGCACAGTTCATCCCAAAAGTGTTCAGTGGGTTCGGGGTCATGGCTTGGGCCTCTCCAGTTCTTTCACAACAACTTTGGCAAACCATGTCTTTATGGAGCTCACACAGGGGCATTGTCATGATGGAACATGGACTTCTTAGTTCCAGTGAAGGGAAATTTTAATGCTACAGCATACAAAGACATCCTATACAATTGTGTGCTTCCAGCTTTGCAGCAAACATTTGGGCTCACATATGGGCATGATGGTCAGAAGTCCACAAACTTTTGGCCATAGAGTGTGTGTGATCACATGTTAAAAATTATGTGAAGGCGCATTTCAGCATTTATGATCTGAAATTGCACATGTGGATTCAGATACACATCAATAATATGGGCTCACACATGAAAACTGTGATCACGTGTGAACATTAAATGAATTGTGCACAAAAATCACATGTGAAAATAAATTTAGTATAAATCAAAAATAAAAACACATGCACTACATGTGAGATGTCCACATGTGAATAAATGTGTGAAGCTTAACATGTGAAATATCAAAAAAGTGTAAATTTTACAAGTGAATCATGTAATTATTCACATGTGAAGTTCGTGTGAATTTTCTGTAGTCCCTTACAGTATCAGTCTATTTATAATCCTAATTTATTCATTTTATTACAATTTAAACTCATTTTAATGCCAGAAGAAAAGAGACAGAGGGTGAGCTGAATTAAATTTAATACAGCAACACTGAATGTTGTAATGGCAGGGTGTTCCTGTCATTTGGAACCAGTACAGATTCAGAAGGAGGTTGCTCGAAAACTGCAACAATGACCCTATGATAACATTATTTGTATCTAATATTATGTCATATGTTCCCTTTGTGAATTTGTTGAAGGCCTCCATGTTCATAGAACCACATACTATGTGCTCATTCTATTTCATCTCTTTTAGCCATCGGGGTGGTGAGGTTATTTGCAAAACCTTTGCATTTTCATAACCTATGCCACAATGTCATGTGGGACTGACCCGTCTTAGGGACTGCTTGGCAGCGGCAAGTCCCAATATACCCTAAAAGTGTATGTGGCAACCATCAGTGCACCACAGCACCATGGACAACATATCTCTAGGGTCCCACAGGCTTATTATTGCCTTTCTAAAAGGATGAGGCACCAGTGTGGCTGGCCCACTGGGTGGTGGATGTCATCACCTTGGTGAGTAGACAAGTGCAGCCCTTACTGTGGTATGCCAATCTTCACCTCTTCTTTGGCCTTATTTTAAGGTGTACTGCTCCAGGAAGTCTATTACAGCTACCTGGACCTCACTGTGCAATATTTCCAGATTCTACAAGAATTATCTACAGATTATACAGTGGTGTGAGTGCAGCATTCATCCCTGAGCACCGTAATTCTAAGATAAATCCTGTTCCTCACTGATGTCATACATTATCCAGGTGTTTCACACCACCCATGTATGTAGCTGTGGGTCTGCGAATACCAGATTATCACCCCCTAGATTATCGAGTTCTGTCATTCAGAACCTGCACCGGCTTGGCAAGAAGGTTCTGGGGAAGGTTTGCTGTATGTGTGCTGTATATTTATTACAAGTATTGCATCATAAGTCACCAAGTTGATTTAGAAGGCTACAGCCTAGTAGGTTATCTTTGCTATTCCAGATGTTCAAGCTGGCAATTGGAACAAGGTTTTGCTTTTGTATTTGTATTCGTATGTATTGTATTTTTCAGACTGGAGAACATTGGACAAGCTTTCAGTCATCGTGAGCAATCATTCCTATCCTCTCATTGAGACGATCAGTGTGCAGTGGATCACACTAAGCAGCAGTCTTCTCCTTTATGCAGAAAGGAGCTCTTTCTCCATTCAGCTATCAGATTGCACTGTTCTATTTTTCTTGCACTCAACCTTGAACTATTCATGCACTGTGTCTACATTGTACACAGTTTATTTTCATTCACCGCTCTTTCATTTTTTTCATTACTCATATACATCTGCATAAGTCTACTACCAGTACCTAACTCTAATGAAAAAAAAAACCCTTTAAGGGTTTAAGGTTCCTTTGGATAGTTTCAAAGGTTTACTTTGGACAGTAAGTTGCTTAAGGGTTTCTAATTAGATTTTTTTTTAAAGATAGGAACAAATCAAAGGAAAAAATAAAGGACAACCCCCCCCCCCCCC